GAACAAAGGAAAAGCTGTACAAATGCGAGGAAGTCATCACAAAATCACTGGTTGGGACGAAGGGGTGTAGCACATGGGGAACCCAAGACAACTGGGTTGGGGCCCAGGAGGGCTGGTCTTAGCCCCGAAGCATAAGGTTCAGTGCCCTTGTTCTAGAACATACCTGGTCTGTTCCACTTGACATCAAATCACCAAAGGGATCATTCCACATGACCCTTTGAACGAGAGAGGAATCCAACCTTTTGTCATGCTGAACAGAAGTATTCATTCAAAGGTATGGATTTCAGACTCTGGTTTTCACACGCTGGATTTCATATTCTGGCTTTCAGAAATGCCAGCTTTTTGGATGGCACCAAGGTGTGAATGTGAGTCAGGCAAAGCAGCAGGGCCAGGATAGATAATCCATAAAATCTCTCATAATCTGGCAGGTCATGGATAAAGAAGAAAGCTGTGCGATGAAGCCAAGGCAGTCTGAAAGGGAGCTATGGCTACATTATTTTGCATGCAACCTGTTCTACGAAGGCATGGATGAATGTCAGGTATTCCTTTCTCCAGAATCTTACCATTTTAAAAATCCCAAATTTGTTCCATCCCAAAGATGAGGAGATTTGAAAATTTTAACAAATCATTCTGCAAACCAAACCAAAATGTTCAAGGTCCTTCCCCTTCTGGTAGTTTGCTGGAGAGATTTAAGCCTCTAGGCTACGGGTAGGCAGAAGGTCACTCTTCAGATGCTTGAGACTTCAGCTCTCAGAAACCTGTCAGCATGGCCAATGATCAGGAATGCTGAAAGCAAAGTCCAAAACATCTGGAGAACCACTTTCTGCTCCAGGCCAGTCACACACTTTGAAGCCCCCCCCCCCCCCCGCCAGCTTAGCAGAGAAATTGCTCTTCTCTTGGGTGAAACTAAGCTAAACGTGGGGATCTTGGAGAAATCTGCAACAGATCCAATTGAGTTCAGGTTTCTATGGATCTGACCCAAGGATTGTTTGATGGACCACATATTCCACAGATGTTGGATTAGTTTTTCCACTCTTGAGGGAGTATTTGTGCTGTTTAGTGCCAAATACACATTGGTGCTGATGTGCAGATGTGTACTGGTTAATTCACAGTACCACTAATTTGTATTAATTGGTGCAAGTATAACAAAATTCTGATTTAAAAGGTTCAGTTCTGCTGATGAACAGATGATGGAACAAAAATCATCCAACCATCTGCAAAACACAGATGTTTTCTACAAAATATGTACATCCCAGAAGAAAGGACGGAGGGTACTTGTTAAGTGCTGTTGAAACATAACTAGAATATTTCATTGCCAAAAGGGGGGGGGAGCCAAATAGGCAGAAAAGCGTAGCCCATTGCGGGGGGCGGGGGGCACCTGTTTCTCGGATACTCAGTAGGATTCATCTGATTATGAGGGGATTGAGCTATTTCAGGATTACCTAGAAATGGCAGTTTCAGGGTTACCTAGTGAAGTTGTCAGGCAGAGAGAGAGAACCAGTCCAGCTTGGAAAGAGAAAATTTTCAGGGATGGAGTGGGAGAAGACGCATGGAGAGCTCCTTGACACAGGCAGGAGAAGGCAGGTGAAGTGAGCAAACCAATTACAAACTGTCCAGAGGTCCCACCGTCTAGCCCACAAGCATTTTGGATGTAGCTCTTTACATGATCAGGTGCTTCGCCCATATCTTGAAGAGAATGCAACTCTGATTTGAAGTATTCTGTAGCCAGTTAAGTGTTAATAAAAGAACTGGGCTTCTAAGCTGTTGCTCCAGTCTGCTGGGGAGGGATAGAGGGAAGCTGCTGCTCACAACACCTATTTTCAAGATCAGCTGCGCTGTCAAGATTTGGCACCAGCATTTTTGCACAGCATTTGATTGTGATATACTGTCAAAATGATTAAAGGGAGTATCCCGAGGAACCAAAACGGTCTCAAGGCAGCAGTTGCGGAGGAAGAGGCAGGCAGACAATGCTGGCTTCCTGCTCCAGTTGGACAGCTGTAGCTTGTTTTGCATGTGACTTTAAACTATGCTCATTGCATCCTGACCAGTGGGGGCCACCAACTGGGCCTGCGGTATGGTAGCCCCTCTCTTCTCGCTACCATTGCCACTGGCTGCATTTGCTCCTTGTCCTTCTTTTTCACCGTGGGTACCGCTTGCTTGCTTGAAAGGCAGCGAGCCAGTGGGCAAGGCAAACGTGGCACCGGCTCCCCCCTCTCCTCACCAACTCCCCCCTCTCCTCACTGTGGCCCTGGCTGGAGCAAGAGGCAGGTTCAAGGGCGGAGAAAAACCCCAGTGGGCTTATGTTACTGGGTCTCTGCTGGGGTTTGGGCCTCCCGCAAGTGCCCGATTATGCCCACACTGGACACCTGCCCCATCCAGCAACACAAAAGCATCATCCAGACAAGCAACTTTATCTTCCATAGACATCCGTTGCTTGCCTCTGGGAAGCCCAAAAGTCAGCCATGATTTGTCCTCTAACTCTGCCTGGGAGGATGGTTTCCAGATAGGCAAATCAGCTGTGGAATTTCTGCCCCTCTCATTTGGGGTGGCACCAAGTCTTACAGGCTTTTGGCACTGGCTAAAGATCCATCTGCTTACCCAGGCTTTTGATACCAGTTCACACTTTGCAAAAGAAAATTCTGTATCTATTAATGCTTTACCATGTTTGCATGTCTTTTTTTGGCTGCATTTTATTGTCTGCATCCCTATTTTGAGATTATTTTATAATGAAAAGTGGGTATGCCATTCTTATATGAATGAATAAATAAATAAAGTCAGTTTAAAACACTGTACAATATGCGTGTTTTATGAGTTTCACCACTTTTTTTAAACAAAGCTGTGGACTTGGAAAAGCCTTCTCAGATTGCATCTGGCCTGTGCATTATTGTCATCTGTAAAATGTTTCTGGGAAAATGTATCCTGCACTGTTAATAAATAAAAACAATGCCACAAATGAGAACAAACACTTAAACTAATGATGGATGAAAAGATAAGAAGTCCATTTTTATTTTTTAGCATTCTTGTTGGATTAGGACCCAGCTCTACACTTTCCACTCAGCCAAGCAGCCCACTAAGTAACCACAGACCAGTCACTTTCCCTCTCACACCCTAACCTACTTCACAAAGTTGTTGCGAAGGGGAAGAAGCAGCTATGCTCCTTTTCTCCAGCTCCTTGGAGAAAAGGTGGGGTGAAAATGTAAGATAAAAACAAAACAAACCTGTGCACGCAGCAGGCGGTTTCCACTGCAAATCATCAAATTTGCGGAGTTTGCCTTTCCTGCATACGTAATTTCAGCACAGACTCTCCAGTGACAAGACTCTATGGTCACTCAGACAATGCTCTGCTCTTCTGTTCCTTGCTTTGAGTTAATAACATTTGCAGAGTGCAAACCAAAAAAGCGAAGAAAAGGCAACCACACACACTGCTCAGATCGGTTTGTGCAATGCAGCACGTGCGGCGCTAGATTGGCGGGAATTCCCGTTGGATTTCAGCTTGGGACCTGTGCACAGATCAGGGCGAGCGCACAGGTGGCCTGGCCCTCAAGGCGAGCCCTGCCTTGTGCTCACCGGATCTGCTGGACTACAACTGCCATCATACTCAGCTGGTTAGGGGAGATGGGGGCTGGAGCGGAGCACATCTGGAGAGTGCCGTTTGGAGGAGGCAGAGAGTTCCGAGCGCAAATGCCCAGAGAGAGAGCGCGAACATGTGCGCCGCGGCTGCAGCCTCTCCCCTCCCCGCTGGATGCGTGACTGCCTTTCTCTGGGGGAAGACGCTGGATGCCAAACGGCTACGTTCTTAGCGCGTGAGCAGCGGAGGCTCCAACTTGTCCCGAAGCCATCGCCTCTGCGCTGCAGCCTTCCCTCTTGGCTGGACCTTGTACAGTACGGAGGAAATCCACGCTCCTTCTTTTCTTTCTTTCTTTTTTTTTGTTTTGGTAGTTTCTACTACACTTATCTCTGCGAGGAGTCTTGCCTTTGGGGTGGGGAAACTTTGCAGGCGTAGCCTTGGCTCGGATTAAGCGAAACCTCGAGAATCACGCCGCCAGACCTAGAGCCTCCCTGCACACGCTCGCTGGCTCGCTCGCTGGCAGCCCTTAACCGAGGGAAGGGGCGAAGTCAGCAGACCCGACCCAGATGAAGCCTTGAGAGCCCACGGAGGAGCTGCCTCAGCCAACAGGCAACCTGCTCGCCCCCTCATAAAGTTACACTACCCAAGGCTAGGATACCAACTTGGGCAATCGCAGCCCGCACGCACAATGCGCGCCCATCACGTCTCCAAAATGCATACATGGAAATTTATGCTTTCCTGGTACAGTCACCCCCCCACCAAAAAAAAATCTCCTTCCAAAGCTTTCCTCTTATCTTCGTCTCTCTCGGAAAATTATTTCTACCCCATCATTAGCCGTCTCGGATCTTTCTTTGTTCACTGATGAAGAGAAGTTAAAAAAGAAAAAAGCGAGCGAGAGAGGGAGTGATTCCTGAAGGTTGCAGAGTTAGACGTGTCCCCCTTTCTTCCCACCGCCCCTTTCGCTAAGATGGTTTTAACTCTCTGAAAATTATAATCACCCCCACCCAGCTATGAAAGCAGCAGCAAATGCAGAAACGTTTTGTAAAAACGGATGGCAAGGGGGTAAGAAGGGCGGGGGGTGAGAATCAACAAACCTTTGTAGTCACCATAAATTATTTTTAAACGCCTTGAAAGGGGATGGAATTGCCTGGAAGAAGCAGCCTTTGCAGAAACACGCACGCACACAAACACACCGCCGTTCAAATAAACAACAAACAAAGCGGCTCCCTTAACTCTCTTTTGGAAAGTTTCTTTCCAGCCCTCTCCAGTCGCTCTTTTCTGCACAGCGCTGGATTTGATAAGCAACAACAACGGGAGAGAAAGAAGGGGGCCAGCTGAGGACTAAAAGGTGGGAAGAAGGAAAGAGAAGGAGGAGGAAAAACCAGCCCCACGGCCAGCAGCCAGCACCAGCCGAGATCTCCCCATCGCTTACCTGCTGCGTTCAGCTCCTGCATTCAGGAAGGGCGACCTGAGGTTCGCCAGGTGTAATCTCCGCCAGGAGAACCTCCAGTCTTTCGGCTCAGCGGAAAAGGTTCCTCCAAGTATGGGAACCAGGCTTACAAATCCATCTTGGGAAGAGAGGGGAGTGGTCTTCGAAGCCACCGTTCCCACAATGTATATTTGGCACATAGACAACAGTTTCCCTGGTCGTTTCAGAAAATCAAGGCATGTCTGCATGAGAGGTTCTTGAACTGGTTCAGGCAATACTGCTAAATACACTCCCTAAAGCCCCGCTTGAAAACTTTGGAATTGTTTCTGAGTAGGCACTGGGAGGGTTACACAGAAAGTCGTCCTTTTGGAAGGAAGTTTAGGGGACTGTCAGCAGTCACAATAATGTTAATGTGAAGGTGTGTGTGTGTGTGTGGGGGGGAGGAACCCATGACAGGTAAACTGGCATAAAGATAAACACAGGTTTGTACTGCAAATCAGCCTCGAGCAATGGAAAAATAAGCATTTCTTTTGCTCTGTTGGATCATTTACTGTAGATGTGGAAAGATGCAAGCTTTTCAGCTACACAGAAGTTGCTGTTCTTAACATTTTTTAATGTATTGGTTAGATTTATATCCTGCCTTTTTCCTTACAAAGCACTCAAAGCAGCTGATGTAATTCTCCTCCTCTCAGTCTTATCCCACAAGAACCCCATAAGATAGTTTGGGCTGAGAGCCTGTAACTGGCCCAAAGTCACCCAGCTGGCTCCAGTGGGGACCAGAACCCAGATTTCCAGAGTCCCAGTTCCATCCTCCTAAGAGCTGTTGCACTTGGCTGCATCCCTAGCCCAAGTAGTTCAGCCTCAACATAGGCGCCAGGTGTGGGGAAAAGGTGCCGCAAATTGCACTGCAGGGAGCAAGCTTGCTGGAAATGCAAACTCTCTCTGCCTCTGCTCTCTGAGAACCTAGAAAAATCCTGCTGGATCAGACCATAGAGCCATCTAGTCCAGCATGCTGTTCACACAGCATCTGCCCAAAGGAAACCCACCAGCATGACTGGAGTGCAGCAACACCCTCTTGACAGATTTTTTGGCAAACGCAAGCTATACCTGCAGCCGTTATGATAGTGGAATTCTTTGACATTTGGGAGGAGCATTGTGGTTATGTGGTGCTAGAGGGACAACACTTCTGGATTAATAATGGGTTCTAGGAGAAAACTTGGCTTGGCAAGCCAAAATATTAGGAGATCAATTATCAGATCTCCCAAACATCTCTTGTTTGTTTTATAGCCTACTCCCAAATTATACATTAGACTAATTGTATAATGTGTGGCTGAAGGGTAGCTTTTCCTTTAATCCAGAGTAACCGACACAGCCCCAGTTCAGACTGGGACCACCACGCTGTGACAGAAAATTCAATTTCTTTTCAAAACGACATTGACACTGAAGGAGACACTTCTTTGGTTAACATCTCTTGAAGGCCCTTGTAGTGCATGGTAGTTCCTAGTGCAATTGGGGCCTGGCAGGCTAGTGCTAAAGTATTTGCCCTCCAGTACAAAATCCGTGTAATGCGTAGCTTGGTCCTCAAAATGCCCGGGAAGGGGCAATAGGCAGTGCAGGCTCCAAGCTGTGAAGAGTCCTTGGGCAACCCGCTCAAGGTTCCCTTCCTCCATGGGTCCACCTTTCACCACAGTGTCATCTGCTCTGATTGCAAGTGTTCACCCTCTTTCTCAGCATTGTTACCACTTGCACACTCGACAGGAAGAGAGTTAGAGGGCAAGTCCGTTACTCAAAGCTCAATTCTGGCTGGACGTCAGGAAAAACATCCCAACTGTTGGAGCAGTATGGCAATGGAACCAGTAACTCAGGGAGATCTTGGGCTATCCCACACTGGAGGCATACAAGAGGCAGTTGGACAACCCTCAGGGAGCATGGAGCAGGGGACAGGGCATGATGGCCTTATAAGCCTCTCCCAACTCTCCTATGAATCTGCAGCAGTGGCCTCACCTTCTGCTCTTCACCACTGTTGCCCATCATCTGGACTGGATAAGAGGCAGGAGAACCAGGAAGTTTCAGGGATGAAGAGCAGCAATTCCAGGAGACACTTGCCAGAGGGGTCCTGTTGGAACATGGATTCTCAGCAGGTGCCTCATCCTCCTTCCCTTGATGCCAGCCCTGGTGACAGCTCTGCGCTGGATTGAGACAACAGCCCTAGCTAGGCTTAGCCTCTCCCCCTTGAGCATAACTCCAACTCCAATGCATCAAGAAAAGCTGTGAGTACAGGGCCGGACTTGTGGGGTCACAGGCAGGCACAGAGAGCAGGGTCCCCCAAATGGCGGCATTCCAAACAGAAGCCGAGATCGAACCTGGATGGACAGTTCCACAGAGAACGGGATTCATTAGCAGCACTCTTCACAGCGGAGTCAACGGAGAAGTGCAGCCTGCAGAACATGATGAAGCTTCTAATCAGGAGACAGAAAGGCGGGAGGTTTGCCAAGCAACCCAATCACACAAGCCTGCAACTCAGTGCTACAGCTAGGTAGGGGGCCCACCTAAGGCAGGATGCTGGATTACTTCACTTGTGGTGCACACAAGTAATATTTCTTTTCTCCCTTTTGCCAGACCATGCCCTAGTTACTCCATGCTTTTCAACTGTTTCTGCATTCTGCATATATTTGAACAATGATAGTTTGCCATTAAAAAACAATACAGTACCCAAAGGATCTACAGTTTTCTATATTAATTCAAACAGTGGAGGTAGAAATAGATCTTGCTTTTCTTGCCTTTATTACCTGCTGCTCTCTGGGTGGTCTTCTGAAAAGATATTTGCAGGGGGGTGCAGCCAAGGCTCAGCTCCAGCTGAGAGCACCTGTGCTTCTCTAGTAGCAGATACTCCAGAACTGGAGTCTTCTGCAGTCTATTCTTCAGAGCCTCTCCTAGACACAACTGCAGTCAACTCAGTCGTCCAGCCTGCCTGCTTCTGAGAAGCCCCTGACTCCTGAGAAGTCCTCTGTCTGGTTCTTTGGGCTATTATTTTTATTTATTTATTTTTTGATTTATATCCTGCCTTTTTCCTACAAAGGGCTCATGGCAGCTTACATCATTCTCCTCCTCCATCTTATCCCCACAACAACCCTGTGAGGTAGGCTGGGCTGAGAGTCTGTGACTGGCCCAAAGTCACCCAGTTGGCTCCATGGCTGAGCGGGGACTTGAACCCAGATCGTCTGAGTCCCAGTCCCATGCTCTTAACCACGACACCACACTGGCTCTCCTCTTGCATGTTTTGATAGTGCTGGTGGTTGCTCTTTTGAACCTGAAGGCAAGATAGATTCATCCACGGCCTGTCTACAGGTGCTTCAAGGACCACTGCTGCTGACAGACGTGTGCTATGGAAGTTCTTGAATGAGAGCTCATGAGGCTCTTGGCCATGGAATCATCATCGGAAGAGAAGACGGCTCTTTGGTGTAGCTCAGGCATGCTGTGGCCCTACCATTAGGTAGAGTGCCACAGTCACTTCAGGCAGTGGATTGTGCTAGGTGGCCACAGAGTGTTAGAGAAAAGGCTTGTGCTCACTGGCACCCCTAAGCAAACCTGCTCCTATCGCATGTGGCCAGTGCTGTCCAATGGCTTGTGTCAAAGATAAATCCCACCTCCAGTCAGCTTTTATAGGTGAAATGGGAGAGGCTGCGATCTTATCTTTCCCCTCAGCTAGCAAAATGCCTTGAGCCAAACAAGGCCCAGAAGGAGTGTCCATCTTCTCCACAGAGAAACACAACCCCTGCCCAAGTACCTTTTTAATAATAATCACACAACACATGCACAAACTGAACTGCTTAGCCTGAGGGAGGGAGGGAGGGGGAGAGAGAAAGAGAGAAATCTACCATGTCCCCACTGTTTTTGAAAGCACAGCAGGGAGGGGAGATTTTTACTGGGGAAGTCTTGGGGGGGGGGGGGCGGAATAGTAAACACTCTTCCCTCAGTGCCTCTCTTGTGGTCCAAATTCTACCCACACACATTTTTTAAAAGGCTTTGTTTTCCATTTAATTCAGAAAATCACTCTATCCACTGCATCGAGTCTTTTGGCCCTCAGATGTTTAGTTTGTCTGGTAATGAGGCAAAAATTATGACTCACAGTGTGACTCTATTTCTCTTTTTTTATCATGGTCTCAGGATGTGCACTCTGGAATGGTATGCTTTTCATTTTGGAGTGAATCACCTGAGCAGCGAGAAGAGGACATCCGAAGGAGCAGAGCCAACAGGCATGGAGTGGGGCGTCTGCTAATGTACAGGTAGTCTCTGAATGCAGATGTGAAGAGCCCATGTGAAGCATGATTTTGCGAGCATGCTTCCTCTCCCAGCTTGAGATCTGTGGCTAGATACCCGCTCTCTGGGCATAGGTATGCAGTTAATGTGTGCTGGAATAACAGCATTCCTTTTTCCTTTGATTTTTTCTTTCAAATTATGAAGCATGCATGGAGAATCCCAGGGGTCACAGCAAATTCTTCATAGCCCACCAAACCCTTTGATTGCATAGGATGTACATCGCATGGGCAAATGGAAGTGTTCTAACACTGCCGGTTGCTTGAAACGAGCTTTGTGCAGTCTGCCCCATTCATATGTAGGCATTCATAATCATGGCTCCTAAAGTGGCCCATAGAACACCTACATTTCAATGTAAAATATTGAAAGAGCTACACTGGTTACCAGTTGTGACCTGGGCCCAATTCAAGGGCTTGTGTTGACATACAAAGCCCTCAAGAGCTTAGCCTCCTGTTACCTTAAGGCTGTTACCTACCCGGCCTTTGAGATCCACACAGGGGGTCCTCTTGTGTGAGCCATCCCTTAGGGGAGCAAGGGGGGGGGGAGCTGCTAGAAAGAGGACCTTTTCTGCTGCTGCTCCCTGCATTTGGAACACTCTCTCTAAGGAGGTTCGCCTGGCGCCTTCCTCATACTCTTCTTGGTGGCAGGTGAAGACCTATCTTTTAAAAAAACATTTTAACATTGGATGCCGCTTAACCTCTATCTGTATTTTATTTGCATTTTAATTGACCTAGATTATTTATTGCATTTTTATATTAATGGGGGGAGGTTGTTTTAGCTTTATAATGGTTTTAA